TCGCTCCCTTTTCCTCCTCCTCTGAAGCAAGTTCCTCAGCTGCAGTCTGTTGTTGTTCAAGTTAAAGCTCTTGCAGCTCTTCAGTGGTTAGCTCTTCCCTGTGGTCCTCCACCAACTCTTCCACATCCTCGCCACTCACCTCCAACCCCAGGGACTTCCCCAGTGCCACAATAGAGTCCACAGGGTCAACAGGGTCAGGGTCAGCCTCAAACCCTTCAAAATCCCTCTCTTGGGCACAATGTGGCCACAGTTTTCTCCAAGCAGAGTTCAAAGTCGTGGAAGTCACTATCCTCCACTGCATAAGCCTCCCAGGCTTACGCAATGGAGGATAGTGAAGCGATTCCTCCAGAACTCTCTTAGGGTCAACTGAGTGTCTGACGTCACTTCAAAGCATTTTGAAACACTGCTTTTGTGTAGAGTTTTTAAAGTTAGAAATGACCTGCTGGTCCATGGGCTGGAGGAGAAGAGTGGTGTTAGGAGGCAAGAACTTCACCTTTATAAAATTGAAGTCCCTAAACACTTCATCTTGCAAGTCTGGAGGATGTGCAGGGACATTGTCCAGTACCAGGAGGCACTTGAGTGGCAATTTTTTTTCCAGGAGGTATTTTTTCACACTTGGGCCAAACACATCATTAACCCACTCTTTGAAAATTTGTCTTGTGACCCATGCCTTATGATTAGCTTTCCATATCACACACAATCTATTCTTCATGACACTTTTTCTTGAACACACTGCGATTTTCTGAGTGATATACAAGTAAAGGCTTCACTTTGAAATCCCCGTCAGCATTACCACACAACAAAAGAGTAAGCCTGTCTTTCATAGGCTTGTGTCTTGACAGTGCCTTTTCCTCCTGGGTAATGTAGGTCCTGTTTGGCATTTTCTTCCAAAACAGGCCTGTTTGTCACAACTGAACACTTGTTGGGGTTTGAATCCTTCAGCCTCTATGTATCCCTGGAATTCCTGCACGAATTTTTCAGCCGCACATTTGTCAAAACTTGCTGCCTCACCATGCCTTACAACACTTGTGTATGCCACTACGCTTCTTATATCTATCAAACCATCCTTTGCTGGCCATAAATTCACAAACTGCAGGCATTTTCTTTGCAAGATCCTCATGCAGCTGCCTTGCCTTCTCACAAATAATAGACTCCACAACACTGTCTCCCACTATTTCTTTTTCCTTAATCCACAATAATAATAACTTTTCCATCTCTTCCATTATTGGTGGCCTTTGTTTAGTTAGAAAAGTTACTCCTTTTGCAATATTACCATCTTTGATTTTTTCAATCTTTGCCAGGATGGATGTAATTGTTGATTTATTCTTGCTGTACATCCTGGCAAGTTCCACCACCTTCATATCACTCTCAAACTTTTTTATCACTTCATGCTTAAATTCCATTGCATTTCTCACTTTCTTTACCACAGGAACTTTCTTAGGAGCCATGGTTACTTATTTCACAGTTGCACTGCAAAAAAGTACAGTGGACCCCCGGATAACGATCAGCTCCCAACTCGACCAATTATGTAAGTTTATTTTTGTAAGTGCTTTTGTAGGTGTATTTTTAGGGGTCTGAAATGGACTAATCTAATTCACAATATTTCTTATGGGAACAAATTCGGTCTATAATGGCACCCAAACAGACTTCTGGATTGAAATAATATCGTTATGCGGGGGTCCACTGTACTAAAAACAATGGAAAACAAGCGAAATGTTTGGATGTATGAGCAGAAGCTTCCTCAGCCACCAAGAGACAAATTCAAACTGACGTGCAAGCGGCCCCAGCCGGCAGATGGATGCGTCCCAAACGGCCGATCATCGAATTAACAGCCGAAAAACCAGCCGATAACCGAGTTGGCTGATAACAGAACCGGCTGATAACCGGTGGTCCACTGTATATTGTTTGGGAACAAAACAAGACGTTTTCATTCGAACATGAAGATGAACAACATACTAACTGATAGGCAGGAAAGTAAATTCTTAGGAATAAACCTAGTCAGGAAAATAAACTCAAAACAGTGGGCATTCTCTCTATTATGTTCCCAAACATCCCTGCTTGCTTTGTACTACTCTAACCTCTCCATGCCTTGCCTATGGTATCTGTGCATGGAGATCAACAACAGCTAATCACCTTTAACTACTGTTACTCAGCAAAAATCAGCTCTCAAAATAATTACTCATTCATGCTCCAGACAAAACATGTCACCCTTTCCCCTTTATTCAAAGGTTTAAATTTCCTTAGCATACAAAAGGTTTATACTTTCTTCTGCATATACTATGTTTACAAGACACTGAGTTCTAACATTAACCCAAAGAGCTTAAATTCTATCTGGAGAGCTGCAAAAGAATACAAACACAATACAAAGAACAAATATCTCTTACATTCCATGTATACAACTCAACCTGTTCATAAGCATGCAAATAAAAGGCCCAAAAAATTTGGAACTCACTGACTGAAAATGCTAAATAATCCCATCTGCCAACATCTTTACTATTATTTAAAAGCACCAATTAAATCTCACATAAAGGGTATATCCATTTTAAATCTGTAAATTCTCGAATTTTCATTTTGCCACCTTAATTCACACACTACTGTCAAGTGGTAAACTCTCGTCACACAGCATATAAATCTATAGGGGAAGGAAGGCGGGGTAGGGGTCGTCCTCGAAAGGGTTGGAGAGAGGGGGTAAAGGAGGTTTTGTGGGCGAGGGGCTTGGACTTCCAGCAAGTGTGCGTGAACGTGTTAGATAGGAGTGAATGGAGACGAATGGTACTTGGGACCTGACGATCTGTTGGAGTGTGAGCAGGGTAATATTTAGTGAAGGGATTCAGGGAAACGGTTATTTTCATATAGTCGGACTTGAGTCCTGGAAATGGGAAGTACAATGCCTGCACTTTAAAGGAGGGGTTTGGGATATTGGCAGTTTGGAGGGATATGTTGTGTATCTTTATATGTATATGCTTCTAAACTGTTGTATTCTGAGCACCTCTGCAAAAACAGTGATAATGTGTGAGTGTGGTGAAAGTGTTGAATAATGATGAAAGTATTTTCTTTTTGGGGATTTTCTTTCTTTTTTGGGTCACCCTGCCTCGGTGGGAGATGACCAACTTGTTGAAAAAAAAAAAAAATATATATATATACACCTAGGTAGTAGGTTGGTAGACAGCAACCGCCCAGGGAGGTACTACCGTCCTGCCAAGTGAGTGTAAAACGGAAACCTGTAATTGTTTTACATGATGGTAGGATTGCTGGTGTCCGTTTTTCTGTCTCATAAACATGCAAGATTTCAGGTACGTCTTGCTACTTCTACTTACACTTAGGTCACACTACACATACATGTACAAGCATATATATACACACCCCTCTGGGTTTTCTTACTAGTTCTTGTCCTTTGTTTATTTCCTCTTATTTCCATGGGGAAGTGGAACAGAATTCTTCCTCCGTAAGCCATGCGTGTTGTAAGAGGCGACTAAAATGCCGGGAGCAAGGGGCTAGTAACTACTTCTCCTGTACATATTACTAAATGTAAAAGGAGAAACTTTCGTTTTTCCTTTTGGGCCACCCCGCCTCAGTGGGATACGGCCGGTGTGTTGAAAGAAAGAAAGAAAAGGAGAAACTTCCGTTTTTCCTTTTGGGCCACCCCGCCTCGGTGGGATACGGCCGGTGTGTTGAAAGAAAGAAAGATATATATACACACACCCCTCTGGGTTTTCTTCTATTTTCTTACTAGTTCTTGTTTATTTCCTCTTATCTCCATGGGGAAGTGGGACAGAATTCTTCCTCCATAAGCTATGCGTGTTGTAAGAGGCGACTAAAATGCCAGGAGCAAGGGGCTAGTAACCCCTTCTCCTGTATAAATTACTAAATTTAAAAAGAGAAACTTTTGTTTTTCTTTTTGGGCCACCCTGCCTTGGTGGGATACAGCCGGTTTGTTGAAAAAAAAAATATTTGAGTTCATGGGCCCAAAAGAAGCAAAATAACATTAATTCAAAATTCCCCAAGTTCAGAATGCCCAGCCAAACCAATGCTCTCAGTCTATGTTTGGTTGTCATGGCATGCAAAGACAGTTTTAGTTAAGAAGGAAATAAACACTAAAGACATTCAAGAGAACACAGAAACTGAATTCTAGAGGGAGGAGTAACTCAAACAAATAATAACAGTACTCACTGTGGTGAAGAAGCACCATAAAAGAAGGGTGGTGGTCTAGCAGTTTTGTTAAAGAAATACCAGTTCATGCAAAGGAAATAAAAATAAAAAACACGACTTTGAAATTCTAATGGTAGAGAGCCAAAACAATGACAAAAAACTCATAGCTGATAAGGGTGGATTGTATGCATTCAATTCTTTGGGAAGCTGGCTATGTTATTAAGCTGATCAGCATTATGAAATAAGAAAATGAGGAATGTACGAATGGTATATAATACCGACAAGATGAGAGTAAGACACATGTGCAACATCTGGGTATCTTTATTGTAGACGTTTCGCCATCCAGTGGCTTTATCAATACAAATTCCAGGACATAACTTGAAGACAGTAGAACTATGTACAGAAGATGAGGTAATCAGTCCCTCAACCTAGGAGTAGGTGCGAACAGCACCATAGTCGTGGAGATTCTGAAAGAATCTCCACGACTATGGTGCTCTTCGCACCTACTCCTAGGTTGAGGGACTGATTACCTCATCTTCTGTACATAGTTCTACTGTCTTCAAGTTATGTCCTGGAATTTGTATTGATAAAGCCACTGGATGGCGAAACGTCTACAATAAAGATACCCAGATGTTGCACATGTGTCTTACTCTCACCTCAAGAAAATGAGGAAATATCATCAGGAAAAGGTTCAATGAGGTATAAGGAGTGGAACACGTTAGACATGCATGTACTTCTACCATCCGACTTACGATCGAGTTTGGTTCCGTGAAACCGGTCGTAAGTCGAAATGGTCATAAGTCGAACTTTACTACTGAATAGTCATTACAAAAATGTTTTGTTGATATTTTATTGTTTTATTTTGGTATTTCATGTTTTACTTTACTTTTTATGTTGCTAGTACAGTATTTTATACTGTAAGGTTTAGGATAAACACTGTGTACAACACAAAAAGTTGTTTATTTCCCAGAAATTTGGCATAAAAAACACGGTCGTAAGTCGAGTGGTCGTAAGTCGAGCAGGTCGTAAGTCGGATGGTAGGTGTATAGATCAGAATGTCTGGAGGTAAATATGGCCACCATATCAACTTCTAGAAGACAAGGCCAGGGCTAAGCAGGAACACACAAGACAACCATCACTGTATGGTAAAGCTGTCGCTACTTTGCTGTCACTTCCATGGATGATCATGTCCAAAATGCATTTTTTACAACTTTATGGAAGACCCTATTTTCAATTACTATCTTATTTTTTAATGTACATCATTTCCCACCAAGGCATGGTGACCAAAGACAATAGGTTAACTATTATTCACTTTTTAGCTATCTTTCAAAAAAAGCATGGACAAGATAATACACCAAACTATCAGAAGCACTTACATAAACAACATATGGGACTTTTCCTTCTTTTCTATCAGCTACTGTAATGTTTCCCTCTACAAGGCTGGGTCCAGCAGGCGTCGTGTCTGTGAACTGTTCAGCAACAACTTTGAAGCGGATTCTCTCACCTGGAAAACAATTTGTTAACTTGTGTAATAGTATTATTAAATAATCTTTAGTCAGCTACAAACAGTACTTAAATTTCAAACATAAAAGTGTGTATTGGATCCAAATCAGAATTTTACCTCGATTACATCTAATCTAAATATCCTGACAAGAAATTTATCATACCAAGTACAAAATATGAGAACATTAGTTACACCAGTAATTATGTATCATATACAACACTAACATTCACTGCTCCCGTACATCATCTTGGCCTTGTACAGTGGAACCTCGGTTGTTGAACTAAATTCGTTCCAGATGTTGATTTAACAACCAAAATGGAAGACAACCAAAGCAATTTTTCCCATAAAGAATAATATACATGACAACAAATGACAACATAATTTATTAAAAATGTACTACTACATAAAACTGTAAAAATGAATACTAAAAGACTTGTGAATTTTAACTGCCACTTACCTGTCAGAGGAGAGCTAATGGTATACTGGAAGTAGGAGGTGGAGGAGAAAAGTCGATATGTTACTGCTTTGAAGGAGAGTCACCTTCTATTAATATGTGCTTCTTGTGTTGTTTCTCTTCTTTGTCTCTTTTCACCACTAACATCTTGTTCTGGCTCACTGGTTTTTTGTCTCAATAAAAACCTGTCCAGTGAGGTTTGTTTTGGGCTCCATTTTTAACACTTCTCTAAATTGAGACATTACACTGTCATTGTACATGTTAGAGAGACAGATGGTCACTGCTCTGTCTGGATGGTATTTTTCAACAAACTCTTGCACTTCATGCTATTTAGCACATATTTCCTTGACAAGTGCAATGGGCACATCATCCCTTCCCTCCTCTTCCTCTGATGATAGCTCCTCTGCTGCACTCTGTTGCTGCTGCTTCTGAAGGTCTACAAGTTCTTCTGTGGTGAGTTCAGTTCTGTGCTCCTCCACATTATCTTCAGTCACCTCTAGGCCCAAGGTATTCCCCAGGGACACAATATCCTCTACTGGCTCAGGCTCATCTTCAAAGCCTTCAAAATCCCTGGCTGCCACAAAATCAGGCCACAATTTCTTCCATACTGACTGCGTGATCCTAGAAGATACATTTCCCCAGGCTTTGTCGAAAAGCCTCAAGTAGGTGGGGATATTGAAATGGTCCTTCTTTGGACCCATGATGGCTTATCTCACAAAAAAACTACAAAATAACAAAAAAAGTTCACAAGATGCACAACAAAACCTGAAGAGATGTTTACAGCATGTGAGTTAGTGAACACGTGACCCAAGCCACTCGCGTTGTTGTCGACAACCAAGAGAATGTAAGAAAACCAGGATAATTTTTTCCTCAAATTCCTCGTTCTAAAACCGATTTGTTTGACAAGTAATGCAGTTGACAACCTAGGTTCCACTGTACTTTAATTCACAATTAACTACTTATTTGATGATGAGCACAATGAAAAAGCCAAAATCTATCTAAACACCTGTTTACATACATTAACCCTTAAATTGTATCATTACCAAAAATATAATTTTGTGTGTTGCAAAATTTTGATGCAGTTTAAAGAATTTATTTTTGCATGTAGAGTAAAACATAAACAAAACTGGATAATAAATTACCATTTTATGGCAAGATGAAATGTGTGAAAAATTATTCCTCACTGGCAACAGCTAAGTAAATACTTCAGTGCTCTTTACATTTTACTGATGCCGAATTATGATTGTTTTCCATTTTTTCAATGTTTAACATTACATACACTAGCCTTTTATATTAGATGTGTTTCAAGATGTTTTAGTACTTGAAACATGAAGAGAGCCATTGTACATCATAGCCCCTCCCTGAATGTTCAATATAAATTGATAGGGATAACGTTCTTTATTGCCTTTGTCGTCTTATACTTCGTACAAAGAAATTTCATGATATTACAGTTGCTGCAAAGTGCAATACTCCATGAAACAGTGACAATAAGTTAAAGTGTTTAGCTTTCTTGGGGTATCCTAGATTAAAGCCACATAGTATACTTGTTGACTTAACTCCACTGTTAGTATCATAAAACTGTAATAAATCAGGAACAAATAAGGTATCTTCCTGCTGGTTTCACACCATATTTGCTAAAGGGAAACCTGGTGGTGGCACAACAGGTCCTGGCTGCACTGTTTACATGTGCTTCTGGGGCAATGTACACATGATGCACTGCATGGACCCATCTAGTTCTAAAAAAATTTCCAGGAATGAGCTTACCTTAAATGGCAGTACTTGGCCAATGTGAAGTCAAATTATGAGTACTAAAACATTGAACAGCCTGATCTCTTACATACTAATATGTTGCGTTAAGTTTAAGGTTTCAGGGAAAACCACTATGACAAAGTAGTTGTTCAAATCTCTTACCTATATTTGTGAACACTAAGGCATATCAAAAGATAGAAAAAAGCGCTAACTAGAAGTGCATAGTCAAGTTCTTACTAACTGCAATCAAGGCTTACCAACTGCTGAAAATGGTATATAATACCGACATGTTGAAGATTAAGACAGGTGAAGCAGTTGGGTATCTTTATTGATGAAACGTTTCACCTACACAGTAAGCTTCTTAAGTCAAATACAATACTGTCAGACACTGTAGCACAATGGTATCTTGGCACAGAGGGCATCTTCCATTCTTCATCACATATCTACTAGTTATGAGTGAGAAGGGTTGGATTCCAGAGGGACCTGCCTTCTTATTAGAGAACACAACAACAGTGCCAACACTGAATGATGGCCCAATTCTTTGGTAATCACTGATAAACAAGCCTGTGACTGTTGCAGGTAATGACATCCTGCTGGTCTTCTCAATTTTGACTAAAAGATGTCCAAGTTACCAAATAAGAAACATTTGCTTTGGAATTAAATGTTTATTAGAATTTACTTTATGAGGCACCATTTCTATAGACTACCCAAGTAAAATTATCTTTGCAAAGAAAATATGGGGAAAACCCTTTCTTAAATATCAACCAAGTTTTGTAAATTCTGCAACAAAAAGCATAAAAAAGTAAGAAGATAAATTACCTTATCTTTTTAAATTTGCAAATCATGTAATGACTTAATTCTGAATTTCCCTTAGTAGCCATTATCCTTTAATACTTAATGCAAACAAATTTAACATTTATCAACTTACAGAATCATGTAATAATTATAATAAAAGTTGTCAGCAACATTAAACTTAAGGTATTACAAGACTTACCAACATCCATGAAGAGATGATGAGTCTCATCGTCAGTCTGGTAGTCCCAGACCCACGTACGATCAGTCTCATCATAGTGAGAATTTGTCATCATGGAGTCCCGGCGGATGTACACATCTTCATAAAAACCAAGACTAACTGCAGAAAAGAATGTGACAAACTTTAATAAAAATGTAATAAAATAAATGTTATAGTACACAGGTCATCCATACTTAATGTCAGATACAGTACTTCACATTATACTGAAAAGTCTTCAAATATTAAGAAATCATATGTTGATATTTCATCCAAATGTGAGCAAGTCTCATTAACCCTTAAACTGTCCAAACTTAGATCTATGTTTTTTCGACATTTGAAAGTATGTAAAAAAACGTAGACTTTTTTTTTTTACATTTGAAAATTTGTAAAAAATTTTGATCTACATTTTTTTTTTTGTTATACAGTGGACCCCCGCTTCACGATCACCTCCCAATGCGACCAATTATGTAAGTGTATTTATGTAAGTGCGTTTGTACATGTATGTTTGGGGGTCTGAAATGGACTAATCTACTTCACAATTTTCCTTATGGGAACAAATTCGGTCAGTACCGGCACCTGAACATACTTCTGGAATGAAAAAATATCGTTAACCGGGGGTCCACTGTATTTGAAAATATGTAAAAAAACATAGATCTACTTTTGGAGCACTACGCATGTGAATGTAGATCTGTTTGGACAGTTTAAGGACTAAAATCTGTTAAATCAATAGGATTATTATTATCACACTGGCCGATTCCCACCAAGGCAGGGTGGCCCGAAAAAGAAAAACTTTCACCATCATTCACTCCATCACTGTCTTGCCAGAAGGGTGCTTTACACTACAGTTTTTAAACTGCAATATTAACACCCCTCCTTCAGAGTGCAGGCACTGTACTTCCCATCTCCAGGACTCAAGTCCAGCCTGCCGGTTTCCCTGAACCCCTTCATAAATGTTACTTTGCTCACACTCCAACAGCACCCTCACGCATGCCTGCTGGAAGTCCAAGCCCCTCGCACGCAAAACCTCCTTTACCCCCTCCCTCCAACCTTTCCTAGGCCGACCCCTACCCTGCCTTCCTTCCACTACAGACTGATACACTCTTGAAGTCACTCTGTTTTGCTCCATTCTCTCTACATGTCCAAACCACCTCAACAACCCTTCCTCAGCCCTCTGGACAACAGTTTTGGTAATCCTGCACCTCCTCCTAACTTCCAAACTACGAATTCTCTGCATTATATTCACACCACACATTGCCCTCAGACATGACATCTCCACTGCCTCCAGCCTTCTCCTCGCTGCAACATTCATCACCCATGCTTCACACCCATATAAGAGCGTTGGTAAAACTATACTTTCATACATTCCCCTCTTTGCCTCCAAGGACAAAGTTCTTTGTCTCCACAGACTCCTAGGAACGTTACAAAAATTCAGGAGCAGTGGGCAACAGTGACAAGTGCACAGAGGTACATATTTGGAGTGTACTGATGCCAAATTATGATTGCTTTAGGTATGGGTTGGGTAGACAGCAACCCCCCCGGGGGAATACTCCCCGTCCTGCCAGATGACTGTGAAAAGAAACCTGAAAACTTTTTTTCCCATGAGGGAAAGGATTGCGGTTTTTTTTTTTCTTCCCCAAAACCCCCAACACTAAAACGGGGAATCTTGCTACCTACTTACACTTTGGCCCACACTTCAAAAACATGCACATGCATTTTATATATGAAAAACAAACATCTAGGTTTTTCCCCCCTTTTTTTCAAAATTAGCTCTTTTTCTTCTTCTTTTCTTCTTTTGTCCAGGGGGAAGGGGAAAAGAATCTTTCCCCGAAAACCATGGGGTCATATGAGGCGACAAAAATTTCCCTGGGACAAAGGGGCCCTAAAAACCCCCTTTTCCCCCTTGTAGACATTTACTAAAAAAGAAAAGAAGAAAAATTTTTAAAAAAACTGGGAGGGCTTGAATGGCGTGGATGTAGTGCAAGGGACAAAAAACAGATGATTGTGTGTTAGAATAAAAAGAATTGGATGCCCTGGCCCTAAGCGAAACAAAGTTTGAAGGGGGAGGGGATTTTTTCGGAGAGGGGAAAATAAATGGGAATTTAAAAATCGGGGGATTTATCAGAGATTTTAGAGCAAAGGGGAAAGGGGGGTTACAGAAATGTTGAATGATCAGTTATGGAAGGAGAAAAGAGAAAAATGAAAGTGTAAATTTAAGAATTTTTTGGATTAAATTTAAAAGGGTTGGGTTTCGAAAAAGTGGATCATAATAAGCAGTATTTCCACCTGGAGAAGAGAGGGAAAGTAAGGAGAGAGAGGGGATTTTGGGAGATGTTAAGGAAGTAAAAGGAGCCCCTTTTTTAAAAAAAAACCAAAATGAGAGAGCAATTGTGGTTTGGGGGCCCCCGAATGTTAAAATAGGGAGAACTTTTTTAAAAAAGGGTGTGGTAGGGAGTTTTGGGGTGCCAGGTGTAAATGGGCAATGGGAAACCCTTTGATTTAACTTTGTTTTAGAAAAGGGTTAGTTTTTTAGGAAAAACCCTATTTTAAGAAAAAAAGGGTTTAAAAAAGTAAAAAAGGTAAGTGTTTGGGGGAAAAAGACAGTAGTTCGTTGGTTTTTTGTTTTTGGTAGATAAAAGGGCTGTTGAGTAACTTCAGGATGTACTTTTTTTATAGAGGGGCCACAATACATTAGATCACTTTTTACTTGTGCTACACTGAGAGTAAAAGGGAGTGGGGTACAAGGAGAATAGAAGCATCAGGGGAAAAAAGGGGGTGAAAGGTTTTTAAAAATAAAAGAAGGGGGCGTTTGGGTAAGATATAAAAAAGCTATTGGGGATTTGATGGGGGTAATGGAGCATAGGCCCAAAGGGGGTTTGAAGAGGTTTTGGGGTAGGTTTAAAAAAAGTAGTGTTAGTGTGTTTAGCAGAAGTTTGTGGGTTTCAGGAAAGTTTGGGGCGGGAGGGAAGAGGGGCGATTTGGTGGGGAAAGATGAAAGTAAAGAGTAGTAAAGGGGGGAAAAAGTTAGCATATGAGAAGTTTTTACAAAATAGAAGTTGCAAGGAGGGAAAAAGGGAAAATTTGGGGAAAAAAAAAGAGAGGGTTTGAGAGTGGTTTAAAAATAAGTAAAAAGAGAGAAAAAAGGAGAGTGGGTGAGAAGTTTATCAAAAATTTTGTTGAAAATAAAAAAAATTTTTTGGGGTGAGATTTAAAAATTTAAGGGGGAAAACTAAGGGAAAAAAGGATTTGTTCCCGTTAAAAATAGGAAGGAGGGGTTAAAAAAATGGAGAGTTAGAGGTATTGGGAAGATGGAGGGGGAATTTTTTTGGGGGAATTTTTTTTAAGTGTTTTAAGAAGATAGGGAAACTGTGATTTCGTGTAAGGGCCAAAGGGGAAATTTAACCCTTTGTAGGAGTGAGGAAGGCCCCGTTGCGAGTGGGGGGGAAAAATTTCCCTGGGCCGTAGGTAAAATGAAAGGGGGTTTAAAAGGAGCCGGGGGTTGATGGGATAAAGAAAGAAATGTTAAAAAACGGTGGGGGATAAAGGGTTTTAAAAGTGGTTGGTGCAATTATTTTAAAAAATTGTAAAGGGAAAAGGGAAAAGGGACCTAGGGATTTTGGGAGAGAGCAAGCATTAAATTCCCTTTTTATAAAGGCCCAAAAGGGGGCAAAAGAAGGCAAAAAAAAATAGGGGGGTAAGTCTGTTGGGGTATACCCGGTAAAGTGTATGGGGAGAGTTTTTAATTTAAAGAAATTTAAGGGGTAAGACGGAGAATAGGTAGAGATGAACAAAGGGGCTTTAGGGAAAGGTAGGGGGGGTGGGACCAGGTGTTTAAAAGTGAAACATAAAGTGAACAGGGATTTTTGATAAGGGAAAAAAGGGTTTTTCCGTGGCATTTTTGGATTTGGAAAAGGGTATGACAGGGGGGATAGGGGGGCAAGTGGCAGATGTTGCAAGTGTAGGTTTTAGGGGTAGGTGACTGAAAGGGAGTGGGAAAAGTTTTTTTTCGAGGATAGTGAGGCTTTAAAATTAGAGTATGAAAGGAAAAAGAAGTTAAAATTTTCCCCGTAAAGCAGGGGCCCTTTGACAAAGGGGTGTATGTCAAACCCTGGTTTGGGTTTTAAAATATTTTTAGATGGGGGTTTTAAAAGGAAAAATTTAAAAGCGAGGGTCCCTTTGGGAAGAGGCCCTGGAGTTAAAAGAAAAAAAGGGAAACACACAAAGTGGGGGGTTTCCCCCGTTTTTCCTTTTGCTGATGCACGAATCTTTGGGGGGATCTGAAAAATAAGTTGCAGAGGTTTGGGGGGGTGAATTTTTGGAGGGGTATGAAAAGAAAAAAAAAAGTGAAAAAAGGGGAAAAATGGTTATAGGAAACCCCCCAAAAAAATTTTGGGGGAAAAGATTGGCAAACCGATTGGGGGGGGTAAGGGGGTGAAGTAATTCCGAAACTTTGGGAGGGAACCCGGCGGGGGGATTCAGGAAGGTGGGATAAAGTTTTTAAAAGGGGGGGGGGAGCCCTGGCACAGGGGGGCGGAGAAAAATATTTTTTCCTTTGGGGGCAAAAAGAGTAAGAGAGAAAAATTTTACCAACCCCCTTATATGGGTGTTTAAGCAGGGGGATGAAGTTGCCGCGAGGAGAAAGGGCTGGAGGCCCCCGGAGTGTCATGTCTGGGCAAAGGGGGTGTGAAATAATGGCCCCCGGGGAAGTTTTTTTGAGTTAAAAGGGGGGGGTGGGGCATTACCCCCCAAAATGTTTTTCCAGGGGCTGAGGAAGGGTTGTCCCAGGTGGGCCCAAAAGTAGAGAAAAGGGGGGAAAAAAAAGAGTGGGCCTCAAGGTGTATCAGTCTGGGTGGAAGGAAGGCGGGGTAGGGGGGGTCGGCCCAAAGGGGTTGGGGGGGGGGGAAAAAGGGGGTTTTGGGCGAGGGGGTTGGGGGCTTCCCCAGGCATGCGTGAGCCTGTTTGATAGGAGTGAAAGGAGACAAAGGTTTTTTTTAAATTCCCTGCGTTGGAGTGGAAACAAAGAACCCTTTATAAGGGGGTTCCGGGAAACCGGCAGGCCCCGGGTTGAGTCCCGGAGAGGGGAAAAATACGTGCCTGCACCTTTAAGGAGGGGTGTTTAAAGT